TGGGTTGTGTTGAGCAAGCGAGCCGTTGGCATTTAGAGAGCACTGAGCACTGCATCAGGTGAGCAAGCTAGTGAAACGTTGCTCGTGCAAAAGAGAAGGTCTGCAAACATCCAAAAACTTATTTTAAATGCAAAATTGATTTTCGTGCGCTCAAAATACTTTTTTCTTTGCGAAACGAACATTTTCTCCACAAAACTCAGATCGCGCACGTGCAAAATGCACTTCTGTGAACTCAAAATATGATCTTTAATTCAAGGCCTATTTCTCTCATGGTGTAGTCTCTGTAGTGATCTTTAACTGGCTATCTGTATTGCTGATAATATCTGAGGTGACGATTACTGAATGTATAGCTAACATGAGATGGTTATTTCCGAAGAAAACACTCAGTTTTTGTTGACAGACTGACAGTATACAGTAGAGGGATGTATAATGTAATGGGATGGCCAATTATTTAATCTATTCTAACAAAGCATTTATTGTTTCTGTATTATCTCCAGCTACTTCTGTATTTGAAATTCATTTGATTATAAAGGTATGTTCAGAGTAAGAATCTAATACACCTAAATAGACTTTTCAACATTTTTACAATTTACAGGATTTTTACAACATTTCTACAATTTACATTTGGGTTAAGAGACCCCAGAGAAAATACTCTTGTTCACATTTACAGCATGTCGAAACTGTTCTAAGGTGTTTGCTTTGACTTGTGTGTTATTATTTAGGTTTGTTTACAGGATACAAAAGAGGAACAGAGATGCCTTGGTCTGGGATCTTGAAGGCAGCAATGAGATTACTAACTTTCCTAAAGAGTCTTTCCTTCATCCCAGGAGCCACCTGGTGAGAAAAAAAAAAGATTTTCTTAAAAACTTCCTGAGCTCTTAAAAAGAACTTCAAAAGCACAAAGATATGACTTAACTTTTAATTGTACATTTTACTCGTGATGGTAATGGCATTAAATGTACAAACTTGTGGTGCTATCACGTGACTTGTGCATGGAGGTACATTTCCGTTGAGTCAGAGTAACTTTTTTTTCTTTTTATATATATAATCAAAAGAGTTGTGTGGTATTTTGCTCGTGTGGCTGGTGATTGATGCTGATCAGTTACAGGAAGCTAAATGAAGTCTATAAATGAAGATAAAATGAAGAAAATGTAAGCTTATCTACACTGATATGAACAATGGCAATGCCTGTTTAAAACAGGGTTTAAAGAAGCCATTTTAATGTTACAAGGATCTTGGTCTTTAATTAGTTAAAAGATCATTATCTTCCCATTTGGATGATTTCAGTTTAAACTGTTTCAGGCTTTGATCCAAAATGCAAATGTTTCTCAGCATATTGGGTGTGTTTACAAGTTGCACATCTTGATGCGTATGAAACGGGAAGTGTGGGTGATACTAAAACATAACAGATGTACATGGCGATTCTCTGGCTGTTAATTTGTGTGTTGGGTGACGCTATAAATACATGCAACACACTGGCCACAAAGAGAAAAAAAATCTGCTGTGTACTTCTGTATATAGCGTAGCTTTGCAGTTGTTGTATGAAAAATAACAGTGGCATTAAACTGTACTACTACAAGTAGTCACAGGAAACATTGTACTGTATTACAAATGGCATCACACAAAACATGTTAAAGGGATAGTTAACCCAAAAATTAAAATTACCCCATGATTTACTCACCCTCAAGCCATTCTAGGTGTATATGAGTTTATTCTTTCAGATGAATACAATTCGGAGTTATATTAAAAAATGGCTTGGCTCTTCCAAGCTTTAAAATGACAGTGAATGGTGGTCAAGATTTTAAATTTAAAAAAAGTGTATCCATCCATCATAAAAAGTACTCCACACAGCTCCGGGGGGTTAATAAAGGCCTCCTGAAGCAATGCGTTTGTGTAAGAAAAATATCAATTTTTAAAACTTTACCGTAATAGCTTCTGCTAACTGTCGTACACGCGTTCACAAGAGAGTGGCGTTCCAACGGATGACGTAAGTGTAGCCAAAGACTATGGCGTACCGTAAGGTCCGGTAAGAGGTGAGGAATGCGGATTTCTTTTTTTATATATATAACTGATTGTATTTCTTCTGAAAGAATAAAGTCATATACACCTAGAATGACTGGAGGATGAGTAAATCATGGGATAATTTTCATTTTGGGTGAACTATCCCTTTAAGACAAAAGTATGTTTTTATCAAAAGACATGTAATTTCAGGTTTCACTTGAGGAAAAGTACAAAGCTACAAGGTCCATAAATCCATCCATACCTCTATTGTCCAGAGTCCATCCTTTTGTTTGAAAACTCTGTAGGTGTAAACCCATCCATCACACCTGAAGATTTACACACAGTCATTATATATTTGCAGCACAGTATTTAAACTTGCAGTTACCCCATTTTGCAGCTGAATGTGAGCCCCAGCCGGTTTAAAGGTTCTGTATGTAATTTTTTGACTGTACTAAGCTTAAAAATACCATATTTAGGAAACATGCTAAGTTCACATACTTGTTTCTCCGAAAAAGCCGGTTATTCTACTTTAAAATGTGCATTCCGTGTTGGAATGTCTGTTTTTGTTTTGGTCTGTGTGATTCCGCCCACTGCCAGTTTTCCCAATAGTATTTCGACACCCCGGGTTGCCAGTTGACAGAAGCCAGGAAACGAACTGAGTGAGAGTTTGCAGATTTGACCCAACCTAAAAATCCTCGGCATTCATAGCTCTATGACAAGAGTCGTATTAAAACGCAGAAAAACCAACTCGTCAACTTACAATGTAGGCCTACGCATAATATGGAGCTTTATTTATAAATATTAAGATGCATTTCTGTAGCTCTGACTGATTTTAAATTGTAATTTTGGCAGCCCCTGAAATGGGTCATACTGACATTACCTGAGCGGTTAAAGTAAATTTTCTATAGCGCTCGTTAAAGGACGTATATTTATTGCTTGGACGGAGCTAGAAAATGCATGTGCAGTCGAGTGATAAAGTTTACCCTCTTTAACTTAATGCTGTTGAACTAAATGTACAAAGCAAACTATTAGCTAAAATAACCACAACATTAACAGGCGCTTTATCTGTCAGATGCACGCGAAAGTTGCATGTGTTACTATAACAAACACTTCATATTTTCTTTCATAATCAGCTGGTAGAAAGAAAATGGATTACATAGATTATTTTACTTAAAAATTAAGATAAGGTAAAGGTGTGATTAATGGGGGGGGGGTTGATGAATTGATGATTCAGTGAGCCATTCATAAAGACAGTCGCTTGCTTCATTTCTGAATGAATCAGCCATTTGAATGAATCAGCCATTTGAATGAATGAATCGCTTGAATGACTGAATGACTCGCTCAAGACAGCAATTTGCCGCCACCTACTGGCACTTTGTTTCATATTTAGAGTCAATTCTTTATTTTTTTTTTAAAATCATTTCATATAAAAAAATTTTTTTAGTATGTTGAATCAAAATATTTCTTTCTAAAGCTACTTTTTTTTTAAATGTCTATTCAGTGTTTTTCTTTTTTTAACACAATAATGACTTTAAATGATCATTAATCAGCACGTGATGTGCCAATTAATTAATCTAATTAATTTGAGATACATAGACTTCATATTTTTATCATATCTTTATATGGCAGAAATAGTAAGTAGTAGCCCATGCCAGTATGCTGTCCTCAATTCAGCAATATTTTTCGAGCATGGATGCGATCTGTCCATGCAGTTGGCACCCAAATACCAGAATTTGACCGGACACACAGACTTTAACATCAACAAAAGATGTGGAAATTGGAAATCATTTTATCCTTTGTTTTACAATTTGAATACGTTTTTTCTGTTGTCTAAATATGAGCATTTATACAGTTAACTGCATTTTATTATTTGTACTTTGCATTGTTTTCCCCAGCTGTCCCAAATCTAATATCAGACCAGACCAGTAACACATTTTTGGTCACAACCCACCAGATGAGAACCACAGCTCTATGTTACAGATTACTGCACACAATGAAGACAGAAGACACCGATACAGTAGTTACTCACAGCACACATACGCAGTAAGATCCTGCTGAGCTCATGCTGTCTCTGATCAGATAGCTGCCATCTCTGCCGGCTTCATTCAAGATCTCTTCTGCTTGCCTCTTGCTGATGGACCCATGATACTCTGCCAGTTCCTCCATACTGTCTCACGGTCTCTCGCAGTTACACGCAAACATATACACAGACACCACAAGAGGTGACCTAGCTGTAAAGGAAGTCAAGAGAAGCTTTGAGTGAATGTAGCTGATCTAGGATCAGCTGCAGATATGTGTTTGATACATTCATATTTGCATACTGTACGTGTTTCTAAGAAATATAGTTTGAATGTTTATACAATTTACCCTTTCTGCTACTGGTACGTTAAAATACTTATATAAACAGAACACTTTAAATATCAGCGAAATTACATTACAGTTATCAGTTTGAGAGAGCTTTTATTAAAAAGTAGTTCTATTATAATAACTCCCGATACTTTACACGGATTTCTCTACATAGATGAATCCGTTTGACTGTATTAAGATATTTATAACAGGGTTGCTGCAAACTTTTTACAATCATATTTAAGACTTTTTAAGACTTTTTTAAGACCCAAACAGAGAAAAAATAATACCATTTTTGTACGCAAAACAAACAGCCATTAACAGTTTTAACATGTTAATGGTTATTCAACAAAATCAGTAACATCAAAACCGACACATCTCAGAGGAATGCAGTAGCCAATCAGAGGCGTTCAAACTAGTCATCGCTGAGTTTTGTTCAGACTGAAACTCGCTAATTCCATCATCATAAGCAACAAAGTGCTTATGTAGGTACGATGTAAGTTAGAGTATCATACCGTATATGGACACCTTTATTGATTATAAGAGGAGTTATGAGTGCTTAAACACTAGCTAGACTGAATGCTCATTTAGAGTGTGTTCTTTCACTGCTCGATTCAGTATAATAAAATGCATTTAGAATGCTCCCAAAATTCAAGATATGGGGGCAGAAAATGTATATTTATATCATTTCATATAGTTGATCAATATCACACGAAGAGTGTATTTCACCAACAAAAAGGGTTCCAAACAAAGCCACAGCCCTGTTTTGCGTCTCTGAAAAACATGACAGTGTTTCCTTCCTGAATGAATCAACTGTTTGAATGAGTCGGTTCAATCGCAATGACTCACTTAACAATGACTTGCTGCCACCTACTGGCGGTTTTAATTTCACATTTTAAAGTACCTTTTTATATATTTTTTTACATAATTTCAAATATCAGTATTCAACGTTTTAAGATTATAAAATCAAAACATTATTTATGCATTTGTAACTGCAGGTTAGAGCATTAATGCCTTGCATTAATCAGTGTATGCATCTAATGCCACTTCAGATGCAGCTTCTGTGTTTCCTCTGCATTGCATGAATTTTGTTGATAATGATTTTATTTGTTTGGTAACTGCCCCAAATGTCTTATTATTATAATTGACTTTATTGATTAAATATAAGACACACTTCTAGAAAAAAAATGGCTTTACAAAGGTAAAAATGCCCATAAAGGGTAAAAATAATTTTAAACTTGCTGGAAAAGATTAATTTCTGTCACTGCATCTTTTATCTTAGAATTAGGTTTTCTCAACGATAACAAAAAATAAATAATAAATAAAAAAATTGCATCATACGTATGTACAGTATATAAAGTTTTATTTTATTTTATTTAATACATTTTTTTTTTGTGAAGGGGGTTTGCTTTGACACAATTCGAACACTGTTAAAAAGTATATAAATTGTAATTTTTTTTTTAGAAAATGACAGATCGTTTCGCTAGATAAGACCCTTCTTCCTCGTCTGGGATCGTGTAGAACACTTTGAAGCTGCACTGAAGCTGCAATTTGGACCTTCCACCCAGTGAACCCCACTGAAGTCCACTGTATAGAGAAAAACCCTGGAATGTTTTCCTCAAAAACCTTAATTTCTTTTCGACTGAAGAAAGAAAGACATGAACATCTTGGATGACATGGGGGTGAGAAAATTATGAGTAAATTTTAATTCAGAAGTGAACTAATCCTTTAATGTCTTTTTTTCTAAATTGTTTCAAATATTGGATACAAAAGTCTAGTTTAATATTTTTGAAAGCAAAGATCATTTACTACTATTGATAATGTGAAGGAAGAGGTTATGCTCTCTTACCTCATGTTGCATTAATTGGCAATAATTTCGATCTTCGTATATCAGTGACTGACTTACATGTTGGGACACCAGGATTTATCCTCACTAAGAACAACATTACTCATTACCTTTTGTGGAAGTTGTGTTCTTCAATACCTGAACTTATTTACGTATGATGATTTCTAAATTGCTTTTGCTATAGTTTGCCTTACATAATTCATACATGATTACTGGTTGTGTTTTTCAGCGTCTACATCTCATACTATTCATGTAGAATAATTATTTGTTTCATATGAATGTTCTGAGAGGTTTTAAAAGTAGAGCATAAATGAGCATAAATATTAGATAAGGTGTAAATATATACACAGCTCACTTCTTACTGTTATCTTCTCTCTTCTGTCTTTACTGATGACCTGACAATGGTAATTTCCGATATCTGACAGCCTGAAGTTTTTCAGTTGTAAGGACACATTTCCTTCCCTAAGCTTGTGAGTGAATGAACTCGCTCTGTCCTTGAACAAAACCCCTTCTGTCACCTGCCTGTCCTTATTCAGGCAAACACGGGCTGTATCGTTAGACCAACTGATCTCCATGTCAACAGCACTGATTTCAGGAGACAAATGACATGGAATAATCAAATCAGACCCCAAAGAAAACTCTGGTGTTGTACTATGAACAACAAGCTGAAAGTTCTCTGTGAGAATACAAAAAATATTTTTTTAACTTACCATTGGTCAAGACTTCCTTTTTGGAATCCCAGTTGGGATGAAAGAAAATACCCAAATATTTTTGCTATTTTTAAGTTTAATATTAAAAGTCTTTATATAATGATTATAATGATTAATGCTTTATTATTAAGTCATTAACTAATCACATATTGTATTAATGCGTACACATACCCCTTGCTGGCTCTTGTTTGATTCATTTTTATATTAATCTTGCCTTAATTCTACAGCAAATAAAGAAGAAAAAAAGAGCACTATTTTCACATAAGATTTAAACATTACACCGATTATGAGAGATGTGTGTAAACTATGTAAATAAATACAAATCTCCATATGTCTATATGCATATAGGGAGAGCAATGTAATCTATGAAAAGTAATGAAGAAGATTTATAATAATTTGCTTTAAAGTAGACACAGTATTACCCACATATTTTCTATCTTTAAAGAAATTATTTGGTATCCTACAAAGTAATTTTTTTTTTTAAATGTCATATGACAAAATTCCTCTCTCAATAACAATGCACAATACACATTCAAATGATAACGTTGATGATTTCAAGGTAGCTTACATTTGCTTTTGTTTCCAATTTTGTTATCCTAATTGAGATTAGAACAAATTAAGTTTCCTTTATTATCTGATGTACTCTTGAAACACACAAACACACACAATATGCATGAATGATAAGCTATTAAAGTGCACACATACCCCAGATAGCTTGTTATCTTGAGGGTTTGGATGTAATGGTATATCCTGTGGTGTTATGTCTATAATGAACAGAAAAATAAACAATAAAAAAAAACTCAAAAGCTAAAAAGGCAAGATACAAAAAAATGCATTTTCATAGTTCTAATGAGGTATGAAACTGTTACATTAGTGCTTTTCAATATATTGGCCTACTATTAATACAATTATTATTTTAAATGTTAGTTTTTTAATGTGCAATGCAAATACTAAATATTACAAGTCAATGATTTCCAGAACATACCGTTTCTTTTATCATTGTAATCCTAAATGAGATAAAATCAAACAAGATTTGTTTTTATTTCCTGTCTCCAGTGGTTGTAATCTATCTACATTTTGTATAAAATCAATTTATATGCATTTCAAATGCAATGGCTATTGGGGCAGGTAACACAATGGATCATCCACAATTTTGTCCCTTTGAAATATATATTTAGTGTTTCTGCAAAACACTAATTATCTTGTTTTTGGAATAGAGGTTTCTGCCTCTACATTGTCAATTATAATTTGTGCTATATAGTATGGTATTCACAAAAAATGGTGCTGTCTTACCACTGTAACGAAGCGCTTGTCCTTAGAAATGTCAGAGACTGCATGTGTCATCAAGCAAAATTGTTAATTAGACGGACAATACTATTCATTGAACTTCATTGAATTTATTTATTACTATAGGTATCTTTGTGAAATGCACACAACCATATTTATTCCAGATTCTGAGTGCTTTTATCAATTACTTACCTTCTTCTGCTACATTTACTGTTATCTGCTGTGTTTTATTTTTACTGGTGACCTGGCATATGTAAACTCCCAGATCTGACTCTCTGAAGTCTGCCACTCTTAAAGACACATTCCCTCTCGGCAGGTCATGAATGAACAGACTCGCTCTGCCCTCATAGCCAATCTTCTCTCGGTTCTTATAGGTGCAAACACAAAATGCCTTATTAAACCAAGTAATCTCCATGTCTACGGCACTGAGTGCAGGAGACAAGTGGCACGACACAGTGAGAGTAGATCCTGCATTAATCTTAACTCTTTCACCTCTTTCAGGAATAACAAGCTGAAAGTCATCTGTGAGGGAAAAGAGACACGGAGAGAGATTCAAATATCACCTGTGGTATCACCTGCTGTATTTTGTTTAAATGGATCATACGATTCAGTGTCTTTTAATACTTTTAAGTGTTATATATATAACACTTAAACTAAAAAAAAATCCTCTCTTTCTACTGTATTGAGAGACACACACAGTAGTAATGACCTAAAATGATGCATTGCAATAACAACATAAAATGTTTTAAACATTCACAATCCACACACCCCACATGTTTTGATTATCAGCTAAACAAAACAATGTGAGCAATTATTTGAAGAGAACTTACTGCTACTTCTCACTGCCATGCTTCTTTTCTAAAACTGGAAGAAAACACATCCAGTGAGAGAGAAGAATTATTTCAGTCTCACACAAACCGCTGGCTTAAAGGGATAGTTCACCCAAAAATTAAAATTTGATGTTTATCTGCTTACCCCCAGGGCATCCAAGATGTAGGTGATGTTGTTTCTTCAGTAGAACACAAACGAAGATTTTTAACTCAAACAGTTGCAGTCTATCAGTCTTATAATGGCAGTCAATGGGCTCCACGGCTTCGAGAGTAAAAAATAACATACACAGACAAAACCAAATTAAACCCTGCGGCTTGTGATGATACATTGAGGTCTTAAGACACAAAACGATTTTTTACCTCTGATCCACCGCAATGTCTGAGCGTTCACAACATCCGGCGCGTGACGCGTGTACGTGCTCTGGCATAGTAGACATAGATATATATAAGTAGATGCCTCATTAATGACTGTTTCTATGGGCCGCGATACGTTCCAAAATGGCGGACGCGTCAACGTATCTGGAGCAGTCGAACAGAGGTTAAAAATTATATAAATACTGTTCAGTTTCTTGCACAGACCGATCGTTTCGTGTCTTAAGACCTCAATGTATCGTCACGAGCCGCAGGGTTTAATTTGGTTTTGTCTGTGTGGTTTTTTTTTTTACTCTCAAAGCCGTGGAGCCCACTGACTGCCATTATAAGACTGATAGACCGCAACGGTTTGAGTTAAAAATCTTTGTTTGTGTTCTACTGAAGAAACTAAGTCACCTACATCTTGGATGCCCGGGGGGTAAGCAGATAAACATCAAATTTTCATTTTTGGGTGAACTATCCCTTTAACTACACTGAAAATACTTATGCAAGTTGCTTTCATTTATGGATGACTACAATCAGAATTTCTGTACCTTTCCTGTTTTTCAGTATGTCTCTTTTCAATGTGAGATCTGTGGCCATCTCTTGATCAGATTAGTCCTTAAGGCATTCTTAACATAGTGGCTGTTTATGCAGCTGGCCCCTGGGTGAAAACACTCTTTGGATGAACAGGTAAAACTGGTTCTCACCACAGTGGTGTGTATTATTTAGATTTTTTTTCTTGGGTTGTGTCTTTTATAGTATCTAGTACTTCATTTAAAGGGTTAGTTCACCCAAAAATGAAAATTTTGTCATCAATTACTCACCCTCATGTCGTTCCAAACCCGTTAGACCTCCGTTCATCTTCGGAACACAAATTAAGATATTTTTTATGCATTCTGACAGCTCTCTGACCCTCCCATAGACAGCAAGGATACTACCACGATCAACGGCTAGAAACGTAGCAAGGAGATCGGTAAAATAATCCATGTGACATCAGGGGTTCAACCGTAATATTACGAAGCTACGAGAATACTTTTTGTGCGCTAAAAAAAAAAAAAAAAAGACTTTATTCAACAATTCGACTCCTCCGTGTCACCCTAATGCCATTTTGGAGAGTATCCACTGAACGCAAACAGCGTATGTTGTTCTGTGTCAGCCGCACCACACGGATACGTAGTTTTCGCTCAAATCAAAGCACAAACAACGTAGAAAACTTTTTTAGTTTTAACTAAACTTTTAGTTTTAACTCCTCACTGGGAATAAAAACTGAATGAATGAATTAATGAATAATTCAGTCCATGCAGAGACATATAGTGCGGGGGAATCCCCCATCTCCCCACCCTCTGAATATTACATATCTAAGTAACTACGTTATTTGGCGGTTTTTACTAGGAAAAGCAGCTGTTTTCTGGCATTCTAATAACTACCTGAAACTATAGAAGAAGGACTGAAGATGAATTTCCTTTACGAATAAAGTAGGAATGTGCATACTTTTAAATCGACACCTGCCACGGTAGTTTTCGCTCAAATCAAAGCACAAACAACGTAGAAAACTTTTTTAGTTTTAACTAAACTTTTAGTTTTAACTCCTCACTGGGAATAAAAACTGAATGAATGAATTAATGAATAATTCAGTCCATGCAGAGACATATAGTGCGGGGGAATCCCCCATCTCCCCACCCTCTGAATATTACATATCTAAGTAACTACGTTATTTGGCGGTTTTTACTAGGAAAAGCAGCTGTTTTCTGGCATTCTAATAACTACCTGAAACTATAGAAGAAGGACTGAAGATGAATTTCCTTTACGAATAAAGTAGGAATGTGCATACTTTTAAATCGACACCTGCCACGGTGTTTTCCTCTTTGAGTTTGTCTTAAAAGCGATGAGGAGGGGGGAGGGGGGCTTAATCTGTCTAAATCTGTGTTAGTGAGCACTTCTCCTTTGCCAAGATAATCCATCCACCTCACAGGTGTGACATATCAAGATGCTGATTAGACAGCATGATTATTGCACAGGTGTGCCTTAGGCTGGCCACAATAAAAGGCCACTCTAAAATGTGCAGTTTTATCACACAGCACAATGCCACAGAAGTCGCAAGTTTTGAGGGAGCATGCAATTGGCATGCTGACTACAGGAATGTCCACCAGAGCTGTTGCCCGTGAATTGAATGTTCATTTCTCTACCATAAGCCATCTCCAAAGGCGTTTCAGAGAATTTGGCAGTACATCCAACCAGCCTCACAACCGCAGACCACGTGTAACCACACCAGCCCAGGACCTCCACATCCAGCATCTTCACCTCCAAGATCGTCTGAGACCAGCCACCCGGACAGCTGCTGCAACAATCGGTTTGCATAACCAAAGAATTTCTGCACAAACTGTCAGAAACCGTCTCAGGAAAGCTCATCTGCATGCTCGTCGTCCTCATCGGGGTCTCGACCTGACTGCAGTTCGTCGTCGTAACCGACTTGAGTGGGCAAATGCTCACATTCGATGGCGTCTGGCACTTTGGAGAGGTGTTCTCTTCACAGATGAATCCCGGTTTTCACTGTACAGGGCAGATGGCAGACAGCGTGTATGGCGTCGTGTGGGTGAGCGGTTTGCTGATGTCAACGTTGTGGATCGAGTGGCCCATGGTGGCGGTGGGGTTATGGTATGGGCAGGCGTATGTTATGGACAACGAACACAGGTGCATTTTATTGATGGCATTTTGAATGCACAGAGATACCGTGACGAGATCCTGAGGCCCATTGTTGTGCCATTCATCCACGACCATCACCTCATGTTGCAGCATGATAATGCACGGCCCCATGCTCACTAACACAGATTTAGACAGATTTGTGAACAATATTTGAGAGAAATAGGCCTTTTGTGTACATAGAAAAAGTCTTAGATCTTTGAGTTCAGCTCATGAAAACTGGGGGCAAAAACAAAAGTGTTGCGTTTATAATTTTGTTCAGTGTATATATTATTTGAGTTATGCTGATGCCACCATACAGGTTAAGAGATATATCAATGAGGCATACCTCCCTCGAGGACCCACAAAATGTACACCCATCTACATACTTTGGCCAGTAAATATCTAGCCATTACAGCCACATCTGTTCTGTGTGAACAAATATTTTCTAAAGCTAGGGATGATTAGTAAAAAAAGGAGCCGCTTAAACTCCAGCACAGCTGAACAAATAGTATTCTTCAAAAAAAAAATTGCATTTGTGTGTTTTTTTTTAACAATGAGCATGTTTGTGTTGTTTTGTAAGGAACACACAAAAAAATGGTGCAATGAGAAATCACATAGGTCTAATTTATTGGTATATTAAATATTATATTTAGAAGTTGAAAAGACAAGTTTGATGAGAGTAAAAATTAGAGCCCGACCGATACGGTTTTTTTGGGGGGCCGATGCCGATACCGATATTAGGGAGTAAAAAAAGACCGATACATCAGCCAATATTCTTTATGTGTAGGCTATATTATAGTACAGTATAGTCAAAAGATTGGAAACACCTCCCATTCTATTGGACTGCAGAACGATACTAACTTTTCAATCTGCTTCTGCTACGTTACAGACTGTACTGACAAACTATGCTGACACCGTGTCTGCGCCACAACAGGACGCGACAAAGCGACCACTGAAAATCATTTGAACTTTGTGTCAGCACGTCTTAAATGCCGATACCGATATTAGGGAGTAAAAAAAGACTGAAAAAAATAGCCTAATTACACCATTCAGAAGCATTTAATCTGCGTTATATGTTCTGTAAAAAGGATCATATCGGCCGATAATATCGGCTAAACGATATATCGGTCAGGCTCTAGTAAAATTGTATTGTGCAAAATACAATGACATTTGGAAGCTCTATTGCTGCACACACACGCGCCGCCATCTTGCTAATGACATATATGCTTATTAAATATACAAATAAGCCTTACAATGACATCCCATTGAACAAAACAACTGATTTTTTTATTGCCCACCAGATAGCGAAGTAGATGTGCCATCTATGTCAAAAGCATTAACGCAGTTTGTTGTAAAAGCCTCTCTGCTTCCGAAGCCTTATTTGGCACATCCCTAGTTTTAGTTAAATATAGGCTAACAACCCTGATTCCCTTACAGGATTCCTGTCCAAAAAAATAAATTCATTAAAAAAATAATAGCAGTTACACAGAGAACAGGAAGGCACATATAACTAACAACAAACATTGACTGACGGAGTACAAATGAAACACAAGGGCTATTTATACACAGGAGAACAAAGGGCTAACAAGCAACAGGTGAGACTGATTAAATGCCATGACAACTAACAAGATTTACCGCGACAAAAAAAAAGGCACACAGGTACTAAACACAGGAAGTGAACACGGAACAATAAGGACAAAGAATTCACTTTACAATAAAAGTCCAAAGACAAACACAAGACAACCCATTTAACAAATTTCATCTAATTTGTAACACAAACTTATAGTTAATTTTTAAGTGTTTTGTCTGACATCTTTGGTTTTGGTTTCTTTCTTCAAATGTATATGAATGTGTTGTATGTTTGAATGTGCATTACGTACTGCAGCCCTCTACGAACACCTTGGCAAATATGATAATCAATATTATTTAATGATAGAACTTTAGTAATTAGAATTAAAACTTGATAACCATGTATGAATGCAT